TCAATCTGTAAAATAGCACTTAAAAATTTTCATAATTAATTCAACTTAATATCTTAAATATTTCAGCAACAAATACAATTCACACTTTAAAATTTTATCTGCTTTATTACTCTAAAATTATAAAAGCATTTAATAACCATAAATTAATTTATTATCACAAATATAACAATTTGACATCAATATTATAAAATGTGCTCAATGCATTCTTTCGCATACTCAACAAACGCAATCATTAAAACGTGAAATAAATTAAATGTAATTACGAGCCAGTACGGATTATCTTTATCTCTTTTTACGTGCTACGTTCGTTTAAGTAAAATTAATTTTAACAATTTTTAGCATTTGAATTATTGCTCTAGGAGTTTTTTATTATTAAAACAAACATTTATTGTAAAAATGCCACATTTGTTTATAAAACAAAACTTGAAATTGCACTAAATTTGTAATAAAATAACTGTTTAATTCATTGAGGTATACTGCGAAGTGAATAAAACACTGATTAGTAAATGTGTCACAATGAAGCGAAGAGAATTTTCATTGAATTTACTGTTAAATTGATAAAAATTACGGTAAAAAACTGGAATTAAGACGTCTTTGAAGCAATTTATTCGGCCAATTCTTTTTTTACGACTATTTCTTGCAAATTATTTTCTTCACGCTAATTTAGCATTTTTCTACTTAATGTTAGTATTTCTACAATTATTTTCATATCATTAATTACTGAACTATTACCGTTTTTATCACTTTATTACTACCTTTTTTGACGCTAAACAATTCATCAAATTAAAATTCCTCCATCGATAGTGTGCATTATTGGCTTTCAGTTAATTGTGATGATTATTGTGCTTTTTAATAACAAATCAGCTAGTTTTGTTTCTTTGCGCTTCAAAAAAAAACAAACATTAATCCATTAATTAATTAATTAATTAATTCATTCATTCATTCATCCAGTTATCCACTTTATTGTTTTTGATTGAAATTAAATCAAATAAAATTTTTATTTGTTACAAAAGTATTACACTTTTATGCAATTAAAATTGACATACCTCTAAGATAAAAGACAAAAATCAAAAATAAAAAGAATTCTAAGGGAAAAGTTTGATCAGACAAAAACTTCGCACATTGTAGTCAGCAAAGCTTGGCACATTAAACAGTAATAATATTATTTATGAAAAGCCTAGGCTTATTAAATTTCACAAAAGTTCTTTTTTTTTCATATTTTTAAGACTGTTTTAGGCATAAAAATTGCTTTACTTGCATATTTTACTTATGCATTTTTGAAAATGCTTTTATGACATTAAAATTGTTTTCAGAATGCTTTACAAAGTGAAACATCGTCAATTATAAGTGGCATCCATGCACGCATCTATTCATCTACTTTGCGCTTCTCATCCCAACGAGTGAGTTACAATCAAATATTCACAGAGCAAAGTGTTGAATTCGGTATATTGAAAATTTTTGTCACACAATGATGATTAGTATTGTTTAAAGTCTAATAATGAATTTTAAAAATAGTAATGAGACAGTTACAAATCGGACAATTTTTGGGATGACCAAAGTAAACAAATACACCGTTAAAAATTAGAGATTCTTACTAGTGAAGCCAATATCTCTGAATAAATTAATTTTAATCAAATGCCCTTTAGTCAACAAATTTACATATCGAATATGTTACGCATATTAGGCAGATGCTTTTATTAACAAAATATGAAATTTTCAAAAATAGAAGACATGAAAAGTAGCAATAGCAATTCGGAAATGAATGGGTCAGATATATGCATATGTTTGACCTGTCTGCTAAATAGCATACTTATATTTATTAGATGATCTGAATAACTAATTAGAACTAATAGACATTCATTATAAAACAAGCGATATAACAGATAGTCATATGTGCATAACAATGAGCAAATAATATGAAGTCTTTAAATTACAATTTTTTGACTATCAAATAAACTTTTTCCGGAACGAACAATTTTCAACTTCTTATACTATTACTAATGATAGTATAGTAAAATGATTGCTGTCATTAAATGAATGATATAAATTGATAAAAAGAAGTTGATAAGTTTTTATAATCGTTCATACGAGCTCATTTTTTGATAACTTAAAAAGGTCTAGACTTAAGCTGACAACTTTTTACTGCTTGATAAGAAAAATCTTTCGTGAACTGAAGGCACTGTACATAACTTTAGGGCGCAATTTTAATTGAAATGAAATATTCAATAAATTGTAGTAAAATTTTAGATTGAGCGCAAATAAAAGTAAGCAAATTTTGCTCTATCGAATTTAATAGCATGTTTTAGCATATTATGCAAACTGGTAGATATTATGCAGAGCCATGTGAGTATCAAAATAAAAGTGCCAAAAGTGTAAGTGAGATAACCAAGAATATGAATGAAGAATATTAGATGAACAAAGCCGTAATAGTCAAACGATCTCACTTCTTGAAATTTAATCACATTTCGACCTTGAAATTGTTCAGCATTACCTACCTATAAAATCATAAAGTTTTGAATATTTAAAACTATCGTTGGGTACTAAAGAGCTACTAGAAGTTCATTACAAGTATGCCAGAACTCGCTGCTTCCAAGTTTTCAATAATCAGAAGTTCACATTTATTAAATGATTGTTGTCAATAGATAATAAGCACTTTCTAATTAGTGCGATTACAAAGATTCATTTCTTAAAGATTACTTAAATATAAAAAGTTTTCAAAAGAGTGAACAGAATTGAGAGATGCTTTGGGAAGTTTTCTATTTTGTGCATGAGCATCGTATTTTGAGGGGTAACCTTGAAGATTGAGCTAAAAAAGAATGGCACAAATACTGCTGTAGTAAAGTGAAGTAGTATGGATCAAATAAGACTAGTCTTCTTCCAGCAATTATGCAAATTTCCTAAACTCATAACTTTGTTGCTGAAAAGGAAGAGCAAATGTTAGGCTTAAGAGGATACAGCTTAGATTGCCTATTTGTAATTCTGATTTATTAGCTCATTCCATTTAGGGATGTGTGTACAATTAAAATATATTGCAAGCGGAAAAAGAATATTAAAACTTGCCTACTTCTTAGCCTAAATTCAAGAAGAAAGAAAAGCTTGTAGTGTTTCGCATTAACAAGACGTGATAATGTATCAAAAGGATACTAACCTTTTAATTTCAATCTAAAGTTCAAAGGTCATTTTGAAAAGCTAAAAGTTGATGAAAAACAGATTAAAGTTACATTTTGGTTGCAGTAAACTTGGTGTTTACTTTATGGTTCAAAGCATAGTTGCAAATTTTTTTCTTAAACTTAAAAAGAAAATTTTCTGCATTTTGAATGTAAAAAAGTGGTGATTTCGCATCCAGTGTACCACAAAGTTTAAAAATTACGATACTTGTACGTTTTCCATCTCGAAAGCCGAAACTATGGAACCAAATCTTTAAGAAATCTACTATCCTTGGTTGCAAGCAGTTAAATTTGAATGCGTGACCACATCACGTAATGCTTCTTTGACGATGAGTGGTACTGCAGCAATAAATAGTTTTTAAATGTAAAATTTTAATCATCAATATTAATCATATACAAAAATTGATCTTTTTTTATACAATCAATCAGTCATCGTTTTTATTTAGTTCCTTCCCAATGTTCTTTTTATCTCCTTCATGACCTTTGGCAAATTTGTTCTTCGAGAGTGTGTCACTTTATACTATACTTCAAAAAAAAGTTAGTCGCATACCATATTAACTGATTTGATAAACTCTGCGACTAGATTTTAGCAAAAAACAGCATTTAGGATATAATCTTCAACAAATCGGCAGTAAGGGAATTCAATTAATTAATGAGTAGAGATTTAAAGTTTTGCATAATGGGGCCGACGTATGAGCTATTACAAAAACGAAGGAAAAATTTTCATAATCGGCCGCAATGGGTCGATATTGCCTGTGTGGGCAATTGTTTTTTGAGGTGGTGGTGAGATTTTAATAAAAGGCTAAATCCAAGTTATTTTGTGTTATTTAAGGTTACCCCTTCGGGAGGGTGCGGTAAGCTTTTTTGCGCAGGAAGGAAGAGTAGATTTGCGAATTTCATATATTGTAAGGATCATCTTTATCTTTTTATTATATAGTGAAGTTTATTTGTTCATACAAAAATTATGCAGTACTCTTTAAAAAATTGCAAATAAGATTTAGTTTGAATTAACCATCGAAAAATTACCTATGGATTTTTTCGCACTTAATTCATGTTTTTTCTAGCGTTTTATGTTTTCTTTTTTGGATATTTACTTATTAATCAAGTTTTTTATATCAAAGCAAGGTTTCAAAGTTATCCTATTCACTGTTGACAGTTAATAAACTAGATGCTGTAGTAGCATTTATTTTCTTTTTTTTCAAGCAGATTGGGATTGTTTTATGTATGCTTTAGGTTATTCTTGGATTTTCAACAAATGCAGCTTTTAAATTGTAGTTTAGATAGTTGGTGGAGGTGATTTTTTGTGCTAATTATTTCTTGTTAATGTGTACAGATAAAATTTAAGAGGGAATATGGATGAACTTCAAGCGTGTACATCGATGGATGTAATGGAAAATGACACTGCTGAAAAGACTGATGACACTGTAATCGATTGGTTTTTTTCTCAAGTGAAAGGGAATGTCGAGCCAGATGGAGGTATTACTAGCGACGGTGAGATCTTAAAGCATGTATTCGGCTTTTCATGACATTGTTTCATACAGTGTCATTTCGGAGACACACTGTGTCGTGAAGTCGGGTTTAGTGCTTGTTCATCCGTTTTCATCTGTCGCTTTTTTATTTTTGATTATTACAATGTTTTTGCAGTTTGTCTGATGTTTTTTTTTACTTTCTACAGTTAATTTATTTCGTTGAAAAAGTTTTGATTCATTTCAAAATTGTTTGTAAATGTAAATTTTATTTTAGATTAGACTAATTAAAGAGTTGTATTGCTTTAATTAATTTATTATGTTCTGCGATGCATTTTCTAACATAAGTCAAAGATTGCTTTAGCGGATATCATATCTTGCGTCGAGTTTTCTCATGACGGTGAATTCCTAGCTGCTGGAGATAAAGGTGGAAGAGTTGTAATATTTCAGCGTGATCAAAGTGTGAGTTTTATTGTTGGACTATTAATATAGATGAATTGTAGGAGTAGTCGTATTAATGAAAATGTTAATATTTTCGCTGTAATGAGCTAAGCTGATCTGATGAGTATTAAATTTGAGAAAACCGTGCTGGTAGCACATTAGTAGAAATAAAAGTTGTTTCAAGTATTTACATGATAAATAGATATTGAAAGTCTATTGTTTTCTGTGATTTTGCAGGGAAAATTTGTGAATGGTCAGCGTTCAACTGATTATAATGTTTATTCAACTTTCCAATCTCATGAGCCGGAATTTGATTATTTGAAGTCTCTTGAAATAGAAGAGAAAATTAATCAAATTAAATGGCTAAAAAGAAAAAATGCTGCCAATTTCATCCTTTCAACGAATGGTATTTATGTTATGTATCTCTCTATATATCTCCTTGCAAGATATGTTTGTATAAAAGTTATCAGATGTATATTCTCTTTCTCAACTCATAAGAAATCATGAGGCAGAAATATGTATCAAAATTTGCAGATAAGACGATAAAATTGTGGAAAATTTCTGAAAGAGAGAAAAAGGTTGCCGAAGGCGGTTGGAATCTTACCCGAAACGCAGATGGTACCCTTGATGGGAAGCGAAGTATGTTTTGTAGAAATCGAGACATAGACCCGTCATTTGTTTATTGTGAAATTCTTGTTTAATCTAGCAAAGAAAAGCAATTTTGAAAATATTATATTAGTAATGTAATTACAATTTTGTTTCTCTCAAATCAAGGTTTGCTTTATAGGTTTCAGTGGTGAGCTTAAATTGCCGAAATTAGTACCTATGGAATTAATTGTGGAAGCATCGCCTCGGCGAGTCTATGGCAATGCTCATACTTACCATATCAATTCCATCAGTGTCAATTCAGATCAGGTATTTTTTTTACAATCTTCACTCAGTTTATTTTTTTATAAGTCTATCCTATTTTGTAACTTATCCAACCTCTTTATAGGAAATTTTTTTGTCAGCGGATGATTTGCGAGTAAACATATGGCATCTTGAAATCACTAATGAAAGCTTTAGTAAGTTATTTCTACCACAGATGTTTTTACCGTGTGTTATTCGTTGCTTTCACGATGAAAAATAGAAAAATCGCTAACAAAAATTCTCTTTATTGTGGTATTCATTCTTACAGATATAGTCGATATCAAGCCAGTCAACATGGAGGAATTAACAGAAGTTATTACTGCTGCTGAATTTCATCCTACTCAATGTCACTGGTTTGTATATAGCTCTTCAAAAGGATCAATTCGACTGTGTGACATGCGCGATCGAGCTTTGTGCGATGTTCACGCCAAAAGTTAGTGATTCTTTGGGTTCATTTATCATTTCAGAATATAATTAATCAGAGTTAATTCATAGTAGATAATTTGTATTATCTGAAAGTATTTTAAATAGTTCAGTTGGATTCAGAATAGCCAGTCTTTGTTAGGAAGAGTGTGATTTTTTTGCACTATTGTTCCAAAATTATTAATCATTCATCAGTAAATGAAAAGTAATTCTATTTATCCTTTGCAGTGTTTGAAGAGCCGGAGGATCCAGCTAGTCGTTCATTCTTTTCGGAAATTATTGCTTCAGTATCTGATGTGAAATTTTCCCACAATGGGAGATATCTCCTCACAAGAGATTACTTGACCGCTAAAGTATGTACTTAGTTTCTTCTTATTTCTTCAAATCTTTGTATTCGCTGTTCGCTCACTTTTGTTGTGTATCATATCAATCATATTAAGAAAAATGAATTTGGCAGGTTTGGGATTTGAATATGGAGTCGGCACCGGTCGAAACATATCCTGTTCACGATTATTTACGCTCAAAGCTTTGTACACTTTATGAGAATGATTCTATTTTTGATAAATTTGAAGTTGATTGGAGTGGCAATGATAGGTAAATAACTTATCTGCATTTGCCTAACTTTTAATAAAGTTGTGTTAAAATTTGGTTTGAAATTATATCCATTTTAACTTTGTAATACTTTGTGCATGCAGCGTACATGCTTGCTGAAGTTTACACCTCTGTTTCATGACCGTATTTAAGATATTGCAAGTTATTTTTACTTTGTCAAACATTGTGAGATTAAGGATAGCAAGAGTCGCTCTCATTGTCGATCATAATATATACATGATGTTTCTGAAAATTCTTTCTTGGAACAAAAATAAAAAAAGTTTTTCGTTTAATTTCTAGAACTAATTATCGTTACGTTCTTTTATGATTTATGCAATTTTCAGCCACATCTTGACTGGGTCGTACAACAATTTTTTCCGATCTTTCACGAGACCGATTAATGGCGAAACATCGGTTGCGAAAACGTATGAGGCAAGCTCTTACGACATCTTTTAAAAAAAATTAAAGAAAGAAAATAGGATATATTAAGTGTATGGAAAATGAATATAAGAGTGAATTTTCTCACAGCTTGAGATTTTCGTAAGATTTTAGGCACAAGTTGAAAGACCACATGTGCGTTTACAAACTCGTCGAGTATTGTCTGCTGGTGCTGCGCGAGTAAATAAAAAGCGTGTTCAGGCAGGAGATGTACAAGCGGATGAAGATGTTAGTGCAGATAGTCTTGATTTTACCAAGAAGATTTTACATACGGCTTGGCATCCTAAAGAAAATATCATTGCTCTGGCGGCAACCAATCGCCTTTACATTTTTCAGGATAACTAAAATTTCACTTTTCGGAATGATTTTCTTTATGTGTGGGTGAATGGATATAAAATTATCTTCAGTTAATTTTTTGAAAGGCCCTTCCAGTTTTAGAGAGAATTTTGGTGATTCAAGCTAAATCATGTCAATTATTCAACCTTGTTAAAGTTGAAAAGATGGTGTTCTTGGTCAGAGACATACTAGGTGTGTTTTGTAATGTTATTACTTGTAAGAAGTTTCTTCAATGAGTGGACTATGATCTGTTGAAAAATTAATCAAAAAAGATTGAAATTCCAAAATTGTTTGGGTTGAATTAGTTCTAATAGTGGACCATGGGAATTAATAAGGATATATACTATTTTTACTTTTTCTAGTTGTTTAAAAAATGTTAGTAAAAGGTATTTTATCTTTTAATGATTTTAAATTTTAACCTTTAAGGCTTGAACACCACAGTTACTTGCAGTTGCAAAAGATTCTAGATTTCACGTGTTAAGTAAGCTTTTCATACACTTTATTGTATTCATCACCTTTTTTATTTACTCAAATTCAATTGTGATTGGCATGATTTTTGTCGTCAGATTCCTTCCAAAGCAAAGTGTTTCATTTGTTTGTTTTCAATAAATAATTGTTACTGGCTATTAATTTTTTCTATGAAACATCTTTATTCTTCATTTTGGTAGGGAACAGTGTGCTATAATGTTTTTCCAATAATGGAAAGTTCTGAGGAGAAAAGACTGGGAATCGTTTTTGATTTCGTTTTGCAAATTTTCAATACTAGTGTGCTCAGTGCATAGGTCGCTTCTTATTTTAGAAAAGATGAATTTAAAGTTTTGATTGGATTGGTTCCTCTTCTGTGTGCATTTTATTAATGTTTTGTTAATGCATAAACTATTTTAGAGGCTGAGTGTTTGCGATTGTCTGCGTCATAATTATTTACTATTCAGTGCCACTTACGATGCTTGTCTGTCTTTTCATCGTTCTAACTGTTCATTGAATTGTATTACAAACATCATAAATGTAGTAATGAGTTTAGATGACGGAAGACTCTCATCTCAAGGACATTTGTTATTGCTAATTTGGAATCATCATTTAGTTGCATTTGTGATTTTTCACATCTCCAAGATGTCCCGTTCCATTTTTCATAGTATTTTTTCGTTTCATTTGTAAGTCGCTAGGCAGGTCATTTGTCACTTATTGTGTTGTTCTAATTTCAGCTAGGGATCTAGTGTTGCAGTGTTCTTTTAACAATGTTTGGGATCATTTCATGAGAGTTGTTGTTATATCATTGTTACATATTTTTTACTCTTATTTTCACCTTAACAGTTTCACTTTTTTATTCGCGTGTGAAAGTATTTTAAGTTCTTATCCTAGTTTATGAATCGATTTGGCTTAGTTTTATTATTCAGAGAGATGGTTTTGCTTTTACTTCGGTCAGTAATACTAGTGATTTTAAAACAGAATCATGTTATATTGTGATTAAATGCGAATGATTGTGTGGCTCAAAATTAGGTTTGAATGTTTCCAACTATCTAAAGCTTCGGTACATTGCTTCAAAACTAGTAAATTTATGCTGACTGAGGGGTTATCCTTGAAATCTATTATTAATTTAGATGTAAGGTTGCAACACACTGTGATTAAAAGGGGATGGTTGCCAAGCATAGGTATTTTAGTATGTTGTGGGTATGTTCAGTTCATGGCGCTTAACTTCTAGTAACAATATTTGTAATGATTTCCTGAGGGGAATGGCTGAGTTTGGTCATGAAAGCATTCTGTATTTCGTAGGTACATAGGTTAATGCAATAGCGTGGCAAATAGGACTTTCTGCGATTGCCCTAATTGTTTATGTATTTTCATTAACTTCAATGTTGCTGTTGGTCACAAGCAATATTGGTAGAAAGAAGTCTACAGGTTAAGTGCATTTAATTGTTTCGGGTGGAAGTATGGAGTTCGGCTTGGTAAGAAATCAAAGAAAGCTTGTTTCGGTCGATTTGTGCATTTCTCGCTATTGGATTCTAGTTTTACATGTATGATATATTTTTTTATGCAGCTTAGTATTCTTACGAGATTGTGTATTTTGTCATTTTGTATTTCAAACATGGATGCAATGGATACTTCAAAAGAATTTCTAATTACCGCTATCGAAAAGCACTGATATTGTAGTGTAATTCCTAGCACAGGAGGCAGTATGCATTGTGCCATTATAGTAACCGTTTATTTGAAGTTCTAATAAATTATTCCAGTTCAATACTTTTATTATTTGCAAGTGATAATGGCTATTTCATATGTAACCATTGTTAACAATAGTTTTATATCAATTCGTTGAGAATAAATATCAAAAATGAAACTAACTATTGAATAAATAATTACGATAAAATGAAGGATGGGAAATGTTAGTTGCATGGACAAACTATATTGAGGTAAAGGTCGAATAGAAATAAAGGTATTATGGAGAATATCGCTAGAGTTACTTACATCTATGATGAGGAAGTTTCATTGTATGTGATTTATTTTGATTACAAAAAAAGATTTTGATTTTTCAATTCTATTCAAGTTAAAAAGTACAAATAGCACTGTGCATTTCAAATGATCAAAGCACTTATAAGTTAACAACAGTGCTGGGTATAATGAATTTTGTATACTTTAATGGGATTAAATTTCAATTTAGTAAAAACATTGATTATTCTCTTAGATATTATACGTTTGATCAACAAAAGTATTTCAAGTAAGGGATTGTTCTTGCTTTCTTGCAATGAAGTGATAAATAAAAAAATTATCAGCAAAATATTTACAACATTTGACATCCAAGGAGTATGCATTCAAGTTACTCAAAGTGTATTTATGCAAACACCGCTATTGCATCGCAGGTAATTGTAGAATGAAGTTGGTTCATGAATGATACTCGCATGCAGTAAATTCGGTAGTAATAATTTTCGGATTTTGATATTTGAAATACAAAATAAAGCTTTGGTGGGAAAAATAAACGCAGTTAAGGCCTCAATACTTAACTCTTATTCAAACGTCCCAGTTTATTCTACCTTGTCCTCTATTACTCGCACAGTTTTATCTATCATCATTAGTTTTCGGATTTTAATTACAATTATTTGACTGTGAGAAAATTTGAAACTCATTTCGCGCAGCACAATTTGATAAACAAATAAATGTCTTTCTAAAATATGCTGAAATTCTTTACATTGTGAAAAACAACTAAAATAATCATTAAATTAAATAACAAAATTGA